TTTGTCGCATAACTCTCGTAGCAAAAGACTGATTGGGGAGGGATTTCTTTTTTTTATCTGGAAGGTTTGGATTACTAAATTGTTTTTTACAACAAAAAGTACATTTTAAGTTTTTTAACACCCAGATATTTCCATCCAAAGATCGGATGCCTCGTTCAATCTTTGGAAGTTCATCCTTTTTCAAGAACTATCGAGCACGTAGATAGAGCGATTTGGTTAATTTATTTATTTGTAAGGTTTTCAAGTTGATTGCTAGATTCAAGAGGTTACATCCCAAAATTGGTCCTAAATGTGCTCCTAACTCGGGTTTTGTCCGAGGGAGCGAATGAACACTATACTCCTGCAAGAGCAACAAATTTCACTTGTTTCGAACGTCTCTCTCCAATTTGCCTTTGATCCAATAATCTGGTAAAGCAAGGGAACCCCAATGGAATATTCTTATCTCTATTGACTGTAGCATAGACAAAAAAAATAGGAAGAAGGTACCCACTTTCCTTGTTGAGGCCGTCCTCACATTTCCTTGCTATTTGAAATAAAGTTTGATATAGAGGAGACAAGGATCACCTTCCCTAAGTCATTGTGAGTTGGAATTAGTCATTGTGAGTTGAAATTAGTCATTGTGAATTGGAATGAAAGTTGTAAGATGTGTTCGGGGGAGTTATTGTCTATCGATGGCCTCTATGATAGAATCAGTCGGGAGGCTCGAGAGGCGGTGGTTTACCTGTGGCGGCATGATCTTTTATACGGTGGTCCTATAGAGAGATAGAGGAGAGAGAGTAGCCCATCATTTTTTTTAATATAGAATTTCAAATAGCCCATCAAATGACATATAAAAAACAAATTCTGAAATTTATCAAATTACATGTAGTATATGTTAAATAGTTCTAACTTTGAGATGTAATTTTTTAAAAAATAATTCACATCAATAAATAAAGAAAAAGTTTATCTAAGGTGTTAACTTTATACTATAGAAGTAAAGTGCACTTAAAAAACTCAGCGACATAGGTTGTTTCGTCACTCGAAAAATTTTCAATTAATTATCTTGACCTAGATATATATGATATAAAAAAAAAAACTAATTTCAAGCTCTAAAAGTAGTGCATCTTATAGCATATTATCTAGTCCGTCCAATTTCAAGATTTTTGAGTGTTCATTGATATGCTAGAGTTGTACCATTTTTGGAGCTTTTAAATTTTTTATAGGGGTAAAAAATGTTATAAAAGTAATTGGCACCTCGAAAAATTACTATAGAAGGTTGTTTCAATGGTATAAAACTCTTTAATTGATTATGTCGAAGCTCCCTATGATCATCCCAACCTCTTGATATATAAAAAAGTGAAAATTTTATAAGATCTTAAAACAATGCAACTTGCAACACAATATATTGGACCAGCAATTTAAACATTTTCGAATGTCTATAGATTTGTTCCATCTGCCTCATCTTTTGGAGCTTTAAATTTTCTTAGGGGTGGAAGTAGATTTAGAGGTCATCATGGGGGTTTCTGACACCAAAAACTACATCTTCAAGGAGAGGTTAAAAGTACGTGTTACTTTGATAGGTTAAAAAAGTATGTTACTTGGTAAACATTACACCCTAGCTTAATCCTTAGCCATTATAGGCTAATAAATAAGGCTTTCACCTTGAATAAGCAACCCTTGCTTAATCCTTTGCCATTATTAGCTAATAAAACGCCGAAAATTGACCTGATTAGATGATTTTCTCTTACAGATTTCATGAGAGTCGAGGCCCTCGTATTGTATTTGACTGTAGCTTGGATAGCCCCTTGTGTTAGCATGGAAGATGGCTGGAAATCTTATCAATGTGCTCGCTCAAAAAGCGATAATTCACTACAAAAAGTGTGCCTTCGATTTGAAAACCAGATCCCAGTACAAAGACTATTCCACTAGGCACAACGATATATAGATCTGAGTGTGTAATATTTCTATAATGCAAATACTGATCAATCTTCAACACCAGGAACAAGCACAGAACTCAGAAGCCCTAACCAACCATAAAGTCCTCATCGTCCACACACGCCAAAATAGCAGTAATGACAGTAAGGAGAAGAGGAGGTAGCAACAAATCCACCAAAACACCACTCTCTAAACTCCTCCGATACACTACAACCACCCACTCAGATAAATAGATAGATCATAAACAGAGAGAGAGAGAGAGAGTCTTGCGTTCAGTTCTCTTCATGAACACCTTCATCCTCATCTTCATAATCAGCCTCATCATCAGCAGTGGCGTCTTGGTATTGCTGATACTCAGAGACCAAATCATTCATGTTGCTCTCCGCCTCAGTAAACTCCATCTCATCCATTCCCTCTCCAGTATACCAGTGCAAGAAAGCCTTCCTCCTAAACATAGCAGTAAACTGCTCACTCACCCTCCTGAACATCTCCTGAATGGAAGTCGAATTCCCGATAAATGTAGAGGCCATCGATAACCCTTTAGGAGGAATATCACAAACACTCGATTTCACATTGTTAGGGATCCATTCAACAAAATAAGAGGAGTTTTTGTTTTGGACATTGATCATTTGTTCATCAACCTCTTTAGTCGACATTTTGCCTCTAAACATAGCAGAGGCAGTAAGATAGCGGCCATGGCGAGGGTCAGCAGCACACATCATGTTTTTGGAATCCCACATTTGTTGGGTGAGTTCAGGGACAGTTAGGGCTCGATATTGTTGAGAGCCACGAGAGGTGAGAGGGGCGAAACCGACCATGAAGAAGTGGAGGCGAGGGAATGGGATCAGGTTTACGGCAAGTTTCCGGAGGTCAGAGTTTAGTTGACCAGGGAACCTTAGGCAACAAGTGACTCCACTCATGGTGGCTGAGATGAGGTGATTCAGGTCACCAACTGCAAGAGAAATGCAAAGAAGCAAGTGTTGATGAGAAGAAGGCCAAGAACAAAACAAATACGTGACAGAGAACATGATTTCAGTGATCTTAGTGTATGACTAAACGTATGTCCAATCAGTGAATGCAACAGATGCTAGATTTTGCCTTGGAGTAGCATAAACTGCAAACCATTGGACTATGGTAAGCCATGGTCCACTTTAACTACTGTAGATGAAGCATTGGACCAGGATAACCGCAAAACAATACCCCACTGAAGACTGTCAGACGATATACTTTCTTTACGACAAAACCAACTATTTAGAATGTAACATTAACCTTGTGTAAAACCATAGATCTGTTGCCCACAATTAGATAAGCGAACAGGGCAAACAGGAACACTTGATGGATCCATTTGTTACCGTTGGATATGCTCTTTTCTACTGATCTATTTCTGTCCCACACAAACCACAAGATCATCTCGCCAAGCCAAAGGCATCTCAACGTTGTCAAAGTTTTCTCATGGTTTATATAATGGGCGTGGTTTCCATAAGGTTGCAGCCTTAAACAATCCAATTAAGGCACGCCTTCAAATTTTATCATAATATATAATTTTGATGTAAAATATTCTTAAGATTATCTCAAAATCTAATTTTCTATCTAATTATAAAATTTTAAACTTTAAAAATGGTTAAAATCAAGTAGATCTATAAACATATGAAAATGTTGAAAATAGACCGTCTAAATAATGTGTTGTAAGATACACTATTTATGGGACTCAAAATCTTTTTTTTTTTGCCATAGTCATATATCTCGATGTTGAGATGATCAATTAGAGGGTTTTTTCAACATTCAAACAACCTTCTCCAATGGATTTTTGAGGTGCATCCGTAGTTCGACATTTTAAAGTTACAACCTTATATAAACTTTCTCCTCATATAATTAATTAATTATAACTTCCAAATTAATAATTATACCATTTTTTAAGGGAAACAGTTTATATAAATGCGATGCTCTAAACAATCAAATGCAACTCAAAAATTTCATTAGAAGAAGTTGTTTTAATACCCAAAAATCCTCAAATTGATCGTCTCGACCTCAAGATGCATGGACATGAAAAAAAAATGGATTTCAAGTTTTGGAAATAGTGCATCTTGTAATGCATTTTGGGATCGTCAATTTTCGTGATTTTCAAGTTTTCCATGGATCTGATCGATTTACACCATTTCTGAAGCTTTAAATTTTACATTTGGAGATGAAAATAAATTTTAAGTCTATCACAAAGATTTTTATTGAAACCACATTACAACTTTGAGTGTTTAGAGTCTCGGCCTTGTACAAACCGCTACCCTTTTTTTCTTTTTTCTTTGTTGATAAAGGATGAGGTTTCTGTAAGGCCTAGGGCTTTACCTATAAACCAATTTCCTATTTTAAAACACAGAGAAAAGAAGAGGTTTGATCATTATGACTACCAATTATTGAATTTGAAAACCCATAAAAGAGAAATAAAAAATCTATGGGCGACCCAAATCTAAATCTAAAGCATTAGAGAGAGAAAGGAGAGAGAGACTTACAACTAGGGGTGGTGAGCTTTAGAGTGCGGAAACAAATATCATAGAGGGCTTCATTGTCAAGCACCATACACTCATCAGCATTCTCCACAAGCTGATGCACTGAAAGCGTCGCATTGTAAGGCTCCACAACCGTGTCCGACACCTTTGGCGACGGAAACACTGAAAAAGTAAGCATCATACGATCTGGGTACTCTTCCCTTATCTTTGAAATCAACAGTGTCCCCATTCCCGAACCAGTTCCTCCACCCAATGAATGGCAAACCTGAAAACCTACAACAAACCCAAGAGAAAAAATATCTCTATCAGACCAAAAGCCAAAACAAAGTAAAAGATAAAAATCATATTCCTTACGAAATAAAGAAAAAAATCTCGCCTTTAACAGTAAACCCCAAAACAAAAGGAAACATAAACATAAAAAATGTGATCTTTAATGAAGTTAACACAAATATCAAATCTTCAATTAACAAATAAATTAAATTCCTGGTGGCTAATTTTTTGGTCTTTAGCATAAATCAAATGTTGGGTATTTAACCAATCAACACAAACACATCAAAAAAAAAAGAGAGCCAATTAACACAAAACAAATCAAATGTTGGTCTTTAAGAATAAAAAGCTGTATAATTAACAAAGAAGCATAAAAAACGGAACATCAGTCTAATGCATCAAATGTTGGGTATTTAACAAAGAAACACCATAATCAAATGTTGGACTTTGATATTTACAAATTAAAATAAACAAGAAATGTTGGGTCTTCAGCAATTTCAACCAAAAAACAGATCACCGTTCTTACCTTGAAGACAATCACAATTCTCAGCCTCTTTTCTCACAACATCAAGAACCGAGTCAATGAGCTCAGCCCCTTCAGTGTAATGGCCCTTAGCCCAGTTATTCCCAGCCCCTGATTGCCCAAAAACGAAATTATCAGGCCTGAATATTTGGCCATATGGACCAGTCCTCACACTATCCATGGTCCCTGGCTCGAGATCCATGAGCACGGCCCTTGGCACAAATCTGCCACAACTCGCCTCATTGTAATAAACGTTGACTCGTTCCAGTTGAATGTCCGAGTTCCCAGTGTACCGACCCGTCGGGTCGATTCCATGTTCATCGCACACAACTTCCCAAAACTTTGAACCGATCTGGTTCCCACATTGGCCGCCCTGAACGTGTAGGATCTCTCTCATCTTTTTCTCTCTCTAGGAAGCACTTTCTCTCTCTAGGTTTTCCTCTCGCCAGAGGCTTTTGGGTGGTTTGAGTTCCAGAGGAGAGGAGGGATATATGGAAGGGGACACTGGGAATCGGACGGTGGAGAATGGGTGGGGGTGATTTTGTTGATGCGATGTGCGGTTGAGATGTAGGGATCTGAGATGAATGGACAGTGAAGATCGAACCGGCTAGATAGAGTTGGGGCGTCAATTATTGTTTGCTTGTTTAATGCGGTTGACAGGTGGAGCGCCAAAGCAGACACCACGCCGGCGTAATGGAGTTTCCAATTTAAAATATGGTAATTAAGGACGTAAATGCCCCGCAATTTTAAGATTATTTCCAGGCACGATCCTGCTCTTTTGAGTACGATGACCAATGTACCCTCCAATGAATAAGCAAGGGACAATGTGTGGAACTAAATGGTCATTAGGTTTATCACCGTCAAATTAATGGATTGACGATAATGGTGAGAGAGTATTGGTCCTTAGATATGAATAAGGATATAGACGAATTTACAAATAGACTACTTATTTTTGGAATAAGAAAGTTACAATCATTCTTTTGTTCATTGGATTTCAAATTGAGTATCTCAGTGTATGAAACTATCGATATTTGTCCATGGGCCAAAGGCTTTTATTTAAAGGGGTTTGCGTTATTTCACTCCAAAATTAAAAAAAATCACTAGTTATCTCTAAGATTAATCCAAAAAAAAGCATATTAGTGGACTATTTTCTCCAAAACAATTGACCTCTAAATCAGTCCATTTGTTGGACAATCAAATCTAATGATATGGGGCTCAATTTTGTCCCTTTTTTTTTTTTTTTCATAAAATCGGCCGTCATATGAATGTGGAAAACCCTCACTCGGTTTGTGACCTTTTAAAGTATGGGACCATAGAAAACTAGTGTCCTTGCCTCTTACATAATTTCCTCTCCCACTATCAACTATCTGACTACTTATCTCTCTTTTATTTCATGAATCTCACAAGTCATAGCAAACTTGATTTTTATGATGAGATCGATATAAAAAAAAACAACAAAAAAAAGAAACACACTAAAGAGGAGACGTTCTTTTTTACCTAACACAGGCTTTTTATAAAAACAAAAAGCTTATATAAGGTTGCAACCTTATTAGGTAGAGCTATAGGTTCACCTTCAAAATCCATCGGAAAATATAGTTTTAATGTTGAAAAACCTATTCATTGATCATCTCCACATCGAGATGTATGACCATGAAAAATAAAAAAAAATAAATCTCAAAAATAGTGCATTTTACAACATATTATCTACACCGTCAATTTTCAAGATTTTAATATGTTTATAGATCTATTAGATTTTAACCATTTTTTATATTTACAATTTTATAATTAGATATAAAAATAGATTTTGAGATAATCTTAAGAACATTTTGTATCAAAATTATACCATGATAAAATTTGAAGGCGCACCTTACCTCTACAGCTACGGATGCATCACTGAACCCTTTATAAAATTGGGGTTTATTTGGAATAATAGTTTTAGAAAGGGTGCAGTTTGTATAGAGCCTAGGCTCTAAATAATCAAATTAGAGCCTACCCTTAAATAATATCAAGAAATGTGGTTTCAATACTAGAAATTTTTGTAATAGCCTTAAAATATATTATCATCTTTATTTATAAAATTTAAAACTCAAAAAAGATCATAGATAGACATATCTATGAAAACTTGAAAACCTTAAAAATTGACAGCCAAAAAATGTATTATAAAATACATTATTTCTAAAACTTGAAATCCATTTTTTTTCTGATGTCCATACATCTTGATGTCGAGACGATCCATTTGAAGATATTTGAGCATCAAAAACGATCTCTTCTAATTAATTAGACTCAAATTTGATTGTTTAAAGCCTCCATACATAAACTTTGCCCTTTTTGAAAGGGGGTATAATACCCATTTTCCGTGGATAAAACTCGTGGAAGAATTAGCCACTCCAAATAAAAATCCGAGAGTCTTGGAGAAAATGTTAAGGGCATTTTCGGTAAATTGGATCGAGTAAATATTTGAGTTGAGCGGTCAATATAGAGGTTGGTGTGGGGTCCATGCGTTCACATTTTCTTAAACGAGAAGATTAGTTTTTAAATTTTTTATATTTTCATACGACCGACAAACAGTTCAAGGATCGATGGGAAAAGAGATTCTAATCACACCCTTTGTTTGTTTGTCATGTGTTTGCAAGGTGGATTATATGCCCGCATGTCTCATGGGTAATTGACCACAATGACCGTTAGATTCCATCAAATTATCCAATATCGCCTCACCTCTAAAGAACCGGCTCTACGCAAAATTACTCATAATCGTAACCACCTTAAAATTCTTTACACCCATTAGGATGTGTTTGTTTTTATCAAATATATCTTCTCAATAACTGAATATCTTTAAATTTTTTGAAAAGTTGAATGTATTGTTTTGAAAAGTTTAAATAAGTTTTAAGCTCTTTGATAATCTATTGGAATGTTTAAAAAGTTTTAAGTACAATATTGGATAACATATACATATTAACTATATAAAGGGTGCGATTTGTATAGAGCCTATGCTCTAAACAATCAAATTAGAGCCTATTTTCAAATAAAGTTGAGAAATGTGGTTTCAA